TCGAGTTAAATCAAATAAATGTATTTATAACCACTACATATAAAATGTTGCTGAGGTCATGTTAGGTTTGACTGATAATTTTGTTTTCTTTAATATCAATTCTGCAAGAAGTTCAGGATCTAAGCTACAGTCAATTTGATAAGGTCATAGTTTCTCCATCTTGATTTGCATTGTATATAATTAATTAATTGTGGTGTTGTCCATATAGTGATGTCCATGTTTAGCGTCATCTTTTAGGTTGTTGGAAGAAGGCATTTCTGATAAACACAGAATTTTCTAGGCACAATTCCATTAATATATTTCTTTCATTTTGTACACCATGGCCAAATATTTTACTTCTTATTATCATTTGATTTCCAACTTTAGCATTCCAGTTTCCTATAATTTTTTTGTTCAGTTGGAATCTTTCACTTCCTCTGTATCTATGGGTGAAGCATAGATTTAAATCATATTGATTGGCTTTTCTTGGACCTGAATCAAGATCACTCTATCATTCTATCAGAGTTGTATCCTAGCACTGATGGCTACTTTATTTCTTCTATGATTTTCTTGTCTGAGGTAGAAGATTTGATTGTTTTTGTATGTAAAGTGACTTATTACAGCGAGTTCTAGAATATCAAACTTCAGTTTTGGTATTTAATAACATAAGGTTTGTCCAGGTTCATGGCTATAATGATGGTATAAATAATTGTGCAGCATCAAACCTTTATCTTTGGTCACATCAGCAGCGAGGTTTCTTTTCAGATTTAATTCAAAAGAAACAATGCCACTCTCCTAGTTGCTCTTTTTCCCTATAGCCCTCTGGAAACTTTCTGTCTCTGGGGGATCATCTTCCAATATCATGTTGACATTAACTTAGGTGTTAAATGCACATTTGTTTTCTTGACAGATTACTGAAGTGGATTACTTCCATCCTCCAGTGGATCATATTTACTCTGATCCCTTGGCAATTATGAGTAAGCCTTCTGGGAGTATACAGCTTCAGCAGTATAGCTCATGGTTTCATTTATACAAGTTTTTTACTACTAAAAAGCAACAGTCCATGAAGAGGGCCGCCTTATACAGGCCTCAGCATCTTCTGCAAGCTGCTATGTTCTTTGATGAAAGCAAGCACTCCCACAGATCAAGTTTTTTCCTGGGCAAAAATATTGATTCCATAGTCTGAAGACAAAACTCAAATTATTATTATTTGCAGTAGCAACACGGATCAAAATTTTTTAAAAATTGCAGTGTCTGTGATTCTATAGTCACATGGGGAGCACCTATCTGGATTTTTATTTCATTTCCTATAGCAATTCTGTTTCCAGATGGCTTTCCAACAAGACTCCTAATATCAAAAATTTCTGGGGGAGCAAACTGCACAATTAGTCCTTACATCTGGAGGACTTAGAAGCAGGAATTTCCAAAACTGCTGAGTGATTCAAACTTTCTGACACTCATTAATTTTTAATAAAATGGCTGGAGATTTTTCATTAAAAAAATATTAACTTAGTTTATTTAAGGAATATAAATGGCCTTATAGTTCTTTTGCAAATTTTCTAGTAGAAATTTCATTCCTGCTTGTGTGGCTTCCTCCTTTTCTTATAAGATAGTATCTGTTGGGCATATTCACTGCTTAGAAGCTCATTTCATTACAGATATACAGATTTATTCATAGACACACAAACACAGAGAGGGGGTGAGAGAAAGAGGAGGAGAAAGGAGGAGGGAGGAAAGAAAGAGAGAGAGAAGGATTATGCATAATATTTATTAGACTTCCTATGAGAAAATTTAGAGATGCATTCCATCATTATAGTAATATTCTCAGGCATACAGTTTGTATCACTGGTAAAACTTCTCATGGCCCATGAAAACTAGTGAGACAGCAGGATACTGTTAAAAATCATTACTTTCCATGATATTTCAGGATTACTATTCTTTGAATAATCAAATATTCCTTGATAATCTCATATTTGTCCTGAACTTCCAAATAGAAAATAAAATTATCTTCCATTTTATTTTGTCACACTGCATAATTCATTTAATGCATTCTAGAATCATATAGTCTCTCATATCTGGGTTGCAAAAATCTGAACAATCTCTAATTTGCAGCACAGAAGCATAGATGGCATCTAATGGTCATCTGAATTTTTGCATATTTCTATGATTGTTCTACATAATTTCAAACCACATGGGTCTATAACAGTTCCAATAGCTGCTAATTCTTGCATCTGAATTCTCTCACTACTACTTTGTTATCTATGAACAGTATAAATTTTAAATTGCTTTTGCTGCACCCACAGTCCTATTGCTCCTATTTCTTTCATTTCTAATTCAGTGAAAATGTTGAATAACTTTGGTATTAATCAAACAAATTTCTGGTTTCTAAGTTGATCCAATAACTGTTACTGTATATCCCACAATATTCCTGGTAGTTTACCCACCTTTAGACTCCATGAACCTATTGCTAATACAGGAATGCTTTGTCTACTCACTGAAATGGCCTACTATAGACTTGAAGTATTCTCCTGTACACAGAATGGAACTATCCTGGATCAGGCTAATCCACAAATTATATACTGCAACCTCCTATAGTTAAAAAAAAACTCTAACAAATTATCTGATTAATTTGAGTCAAAGTAGCTATGATGTTCATAGTCATATAATATTTTATAACCCAAATTCCACCACCAAGGAAAATGGTAGATCACTTACCACTACTACGTTTCTGTCACCATTATTTTCCTGATCTTTTTCGTTCATTTAGGGACAGTTTTTTTAAAAAATGGAATGTGTGTAGGGGCTCAATCTTTCTAAATTCTTCCGAAGAGTATTCAGAGGCCTTTTAAGTATGTGCCTAGAAATTCTTCCTTTGAATTTTGTAGTGATAAACACTGAATGCTTCTTTACTTATTCATGTGTTATTAACAACATTTGTATATGCTTCATATTCTGAAAACCTGAACTGTTTTCAATAAATAGACAAGTATGAAGTTAAACAGATCATAAACAGAATAGAAACAGAATAAAAACAATGCAGCCCCTCTCCAAATATTAGTGGAGCTAATGGCTAAGAAAGTCAATTATATTAAGCCAATGTTTCAAAGATGCCTAAACACAGGGGCCAGCATCATAAGAGAGAAAGTCATTCCAGAGAACAGGTGCCTTGCAGGAAAACCTCCACCAACTGTCAAGCTTCAGATTGCAGAGCAAAGAACAGAGCTTCGCTGGAGAATTGTATTGTTGATACCTGGGGATATTTAATTGTTTCAGTTTAGTAATACCAGCTCTCTGGGTGAGTACTAGGCCGGCAATCAGTGCAGAGATACATTCATGATAATGTTCCCTATTCAGGAGACTAGATGATGAATTGTAGGTTCCAGAATATTCCAAAGGAAAGCCCTAGAATGTGGATAATATTAATGAGTTTTGAAGTTACTGATGCCTGAATCTGTCTAGCCAAGCTATTTTTAATCAACAATGGGCTCCACAAAGATCACCTGTTCAAGCAGCAATGACAGATCTAGGAAGCCCTTCAGAATAGGAACCTGTTCCTTCAGAAGTCCACAATTCCATCCAGAATACCTTCAATTCCTATTCCTTCCCAGGAGCCACTGACTCACAATGCTTGTGTTCTATTGATGTGGCTTTTACAGTATCTGTTTTCCGTTATTGCATTCAAGCAACAATTTAAGACTTGCATGACCTGTCATGATTCTGAGATCATCAAGTAATAGAGCTGGGTTGACACCTCACCCCAAATGTTCTCATTACTGTATCAAGCCACTTTATAGACATCATAGATGACAATGTAAGTAAATTGAGGCATTCCACATAAAGACTGTCAGGAGGCCAAACTACAGTGCTGTGTCCCAATGCTAGGACTACAAAGTGCTCCAGCAGTTCCGAATCCATAGAGCCAATACAGGTTGACACTGTAATTAAATATAGCAGAGAAATCCCACAAGAGAACAGATTGAAAGCATTTTCAGAATAGAAAAGGGAGGTGATGAATGACATTCACGTATTACGATATCAGAATGCAAATTTTGACCATTACATAGTGGTGTGTGCTGTTACATTGATATATAACTTTCATGTAGACACAAGAAAAAAAATTCAGTTGTACTATAACATCATGACAAACATTTTGTCATTTTGGCACTATGGAACACAGTTGTTGGTATGTCCATACCATGTCCATAATGATTATGTTCCTCTCACAGGAAAGTAATCCAACACAGTAGCCAAGGGAGATCCTCTTATAATTAGGCCAGAACAGAACCCAGACTGAAGTGGATCTAGAAAATCAGTACTTATTAATAATTATTAATACACCATTTTGGAATTTCTCCTTTTAAAAAACAAGCAATGCTTACAACAATATAGTTGGGCAAAATTTATTTTGAAAGTTGGCTAGGTTATATTTAAATTTTGGTTCAGGTTATTTAATATATAATTCACTTGAAAATACATTTTGCAAAGAATTTTGGAGCCAGCTAACTGCAGAAAATATACAAAATATATAAAGCCATCTGCTAGTGTTCCACTATTACACTTTTTCAAAATAATAGGACTGTTGTTCTCTTAATTGTCCTTCAATATCATGAAGCTATAACATTAGGCATGTAAGGGATGGAGGCAAATTTAAAATATTTTTTTATTTTCCTCTACAGTGTCATATATCTCTATATTTTATTACATCTGCACTGCTCTGCACAAAAACATTTGCTAAAAGCCTGTTTTTCTAGAGAGGCATTTTCATGCTCATGACATTTTCCATCTATATATTTTCTTCAGATTATGAATTTGATAATAAACTGCATTGAATCCAAAAAATTCATTTCTCACAAATATTCACATTCTGCCTTTCTTTTCATCAAAGAATAATTTAAAATACTGTTGTGTTCATTGAATTGTTTTCTTTATCAGTCAAATACACTTCTTTTCTGTCCTTTCTTCTTTCCTTCTTTCTTTCTTTCTTTCTTTCTTTCTTCCTTTCTTCCTTCTTTCCTTGACAGGTCATGGGTTATAGGTGCAATAGCTCTGCTCTGCCTATTGGGACTCACCTGGGCCTTTGGACTTATGTATATTAATGAAAGCACGGTGATCATGGCGTATCTCTTCACCATTTTCAATTCTCTGCAGGGAATGTTTATATTCATTTTCCATTGTGTTCTCCAAAAAAAGGTAAGGACGATGCGATGTTGATTTTGATGGTGGTGGAGGTGGTGGTGGTGGTGATGATGGATATTTTAAATAAAGCAAATCAGGGGTTTAATAGCCTAATAACTACAACATTTTTTTATATACAGGGTCTTATATTTTGCACTTGTTGTGGTTTGGTTTTGAACTGGTTTGCCTGACAATAGAATGTGTCTGAACTCATGATAAAAATGAGTAGTTATTAGTGATCATGGAGCTTTTCATTAAATGTACATTATTTAGAAATACATTTAAAAAATAATCCCTTTGAATTTCTCTTTGAATAGTATTATTCCAATTGATTTTACCCTGGCAGCAGTGTGGCACTAAAATCTACAGCTTTTCAGGAGGTAGAATATTGATCTGGTTTTTGTGGTAAAAGAGCTTTTGTGATAAAGGAGAGCCAATTTGGTGTAGGTACTAGGCTAGAAACTAGGAGACCCTGAGTTCCAATGCTGCTTTAGCCCTGAAAGCCAGCTGGATGACGTTGAGCCAATCCCTCTCATCTCACAGGGTGGTTGTTGCCAGGAAAATAGAAGGAGGAAGGTGTGTTTCCTGCCTTGAGTTATTTGTAAAAATAATAAAGGTGGGATATAAATAGGTAATGAAGTATTTTTGAAGAATTTGCTTTTGGCAGATATTAGTACAAGCTGATTTCATCTGCTCCATCCAGATAAACATAGAGGTGGGGATTTTATTAGCCATCAAACAACATAAATTTTCAATTTCAGTTTATCAGGATCAAAAATTAGCCAAAAGAACTTGCATTTCATTGAACATAATATTGGTATACATTAAAATATAGAACTTGAGGTGAAAAATATATTTTGAACTATGTGTTTTGAGACTAAGTAGTCCCTAGAAATCTTCTTTAAAATTATAGATCCATCTCTTGTACAGGTGGATACAGAAAATTATAGGCCAGAGAGTTTTAACGCATCCTGGATAAATTGGCATAATGCAATAAAGTAATTATTATTAATAAAATCTTGCTAAACAGAGTTTTTCTAATGTTAATCTTACTTCACAGCATTTAAAATGGCTTTGAATGTCAACAGACATATAAATGGGTGCAATCTATGTAAGTTAATTTTATCCATTGGAATTTGAATTGGTTGTTTCCAAGTTGTTCCAGTGATTCAAGGTTTAGGCTTCAAAAAGACTTTAACAAAGTCTTTCACTAAGACTCTAGAGTAAATTTAACATCATTGGGATAAAAGGAGAGTTTTAATTTGATTCTTCTGAGTAACTGGACTCAGTGACTTGTGGGTTCTTTCTAACTCTTTGATTCATTGAAGTCCTTTAATGGATTGCTAACTGATTAAAGAACAGGGAGCAGAAAGAAGGAATTAATGGATAATTTTCATAAGGTGGAAGTATCCAAAGTGAGGTCTCCTAAGGATTTGCAGTGAGATTGCTTTTTAATATATTCATAAACCACCTGGAATTACAGATGAGCAATATGGCATACATCTCGAAAATTAATCTTTCCAGCCTGGAAAAGGGACTTTAAAATGGCAAATGTAATTCACCCTAAGCAAGCAGCAAGTGATGAAATACCATCCAGGGCCTTAAAATTCATGGCAATGTACTGTGCAGCAGCATGGAACCTTTAGAGGATTAGAAGCGTTTCTCCAATGCTTCCTGGAATGGCAATATGTCCACAGAATAAAATGCACGTTGAGATGGTCATTGCAGGTAGTGAAGAAAAGAAAAAGCAAACATTTAACATCGACAGGATGAGAAAAGTGCATGTGGAAGCAGGAGTTTGGCAGGGAGATTAGCAAGGGAATTCAAGGGGGAGACCCTTTTGGAGTGTGTACTCTTTTCTTTTTCTTTCCGTCTGTCTTCTTTCAGTCCACTCTAGTCTTCATCTAGAATTTCTTTGCACTCAATGCCACAGGAAGCAAATAGTAAAGATTTCTGTGCGAGTTTTGGCTAGGAGAGTTCATAGGGAAGGATCCAAGCTACGTGGACAATGACCTGAAAAATAGATAGAATGGACACCTTTCTGCCTGGACTATACTTAAAGGATTGGAGGAAGAGGAAGAGCTTGGATGAGAAAGCAAAGAGGCTTAGAAAAGAGTTTCTAAATTGACATGTATAAGAGAAAATAAGACAGGATAGCTGAAGTTCTCAAGAATTAGCACAGATAAAAAAAATTATGAGAGGAATGAAAGACAATGGAAAAGACAAGCATATGGAAAAATCAAGGTGATTAGGATGCAATTTGTGCTTTGTTGTTAGTTGTGAAGTCGTGTCCGACCCATTACGACCCCATGGACAACGTTCTTCCAGGCCTTCCTATCCTCTACCATCTTCTGGAGTCCATTTAAGCTCACGCCTACTGCTTCAGTGACTCCATCCAGCCATCTCATTCTCTATTGCCCTCAATCTTTCCCAGCATTAGGCTCTTCTCCAGTGAGTCCTTCCTTCTCATTAGGTGGCCAAAGTATTTGAGTTTCAAATTCAGGATCTGGCCTTCTAAAGAGCAGTCCGGGTTGATCAATTCTAGGACTGACCAGTTTGATCACCTTGCAGTCCAGGGGACTTGCAGTCCAGGGGACTTGCAGGAGTCTTCTCCAGCACCATAGTTCAAAGGCCTCAATTCTTTGGCACTTAGCCTTTCTTATGGTCCAACTTTCACAGCCGTACATTGCTACTGGGAAAACCATGGCTTTGACTATACGTACTTTTGTTGGCAGGGTGATGCCTCTGCTTTTTAGTATGCTGTCTAGATTTGCCATAGCTTTTGTGCTAGTGCAACTGAAAAGTGAGTACAAGGCTGTCCCTAAAGGAGGACCAATAGTCACTTGAAGAATGTATGACATAACACTTTCAGAAGTCCCTGAGCCCTTATGGGAAAAAGAAATCCAGAAGGATCACAGAAAGAAAAGGCATCTCATGATGTTAACCTTCGAAGGCAGACAAGACTAGGAAACCAATGCCATGTAGACCAGTACTACCTTTATTGAAATCTTACAAGTCTGAATGCACTTCCTCTTCCCTTCTTTTCCCTTCCCTTCCCTTCCCTTCCCTTATCTTTATGTGAACTAGGCAGTGGCTTGTCTGAAATGTTTTACCCTAGTTACATTCTTGGCTCAGGTTCAGGCCTCTTTTATCTAACCATTGCCTTGGTAGTGGTGTGTCCTTCAAGGCCATTCCTTCTGTCATCTGCACAATAGATGATTTCTTATTAAGGTGGGCCAAAAATGTGCAAACCGAATAAGAGAATGCAGAGAAGTAGGGTTTTCCAGGTACTTTTGTATAGGATGTATTGGTGAACTTATCCAAAATATTTAAATGTTAACTATCCTTCTTTCTAATATATGTGAGGACAAATCACCTGCTCAGAGAGACACTTAAAGAGAGACACTATGAGGCCTTGGCCAGAAAGGTTAAGGAATTGGGAATGCAGGTAATTTTGCCATTAATCTTTCCAGTTGAGAGTCATGATACAAGAAAAAAAAGTAGATCTCACAAGTCAACAACTGTATATGCAAACAGGAATTGATGAGAAGGGCTTGAATTCTGGGACAGAGGCCTGTAGTAACTTCATGAAGGACTTCTGAGAAGAGATGGAATACATTGTGCAAAAACTGAGAAAAGTCCTTGGATAGGCATCTCAACATTTTCATTGGAAAAATGTTAAATTAGGGGGAAAGTGGGAGGAAAGTAAAAGCCCAGAACTGAATTAGCAGCTAAGAACTCAGGCCAAAGAATCAAAACACAAAGAGAGTAGAATAGACATAGCAAAAGAAGGAACTCAAAACATCAAATGGTTCTACCCTAGTGCACAGGTATAGGGAAATATACAGTGAGAACAAAAGACCTTAACTCAGGAAGACAAATATGATAGGACAGGCATTATTGAAAGTTGGAGGGATACTTAGGCACACAGCACTCGAATGTTATACTTTATTCAAAAGAAGGAGATTTGATAAAAAGTGTGGGAGTGTTACACTGTATATAAAGAAAAAAAAAATGCAGAGAAATTCAGGAATCCTTTTGAAAGTATTTGAGCAAGAATAAAAGTAGAGAGAAGCAAAAGTGATACCATGATAACTTTGGGGGGAGGGTTGTTAAAGAGAATTACCTGAGCAGACAGAAGATACAGATGAGGTATTTCTGCATCAGATGAACAATCTTTCAATGAGGCATACAATAGTGATAGTGGAGGGTTACAATTGTCTTATCACCTTCTGGAAATCTATATCTGCCCGGAAATCATTTCTTGTCCTCTCTTACTACCAACCTCATTTGTGAGATGGTGGAAGAAAAAACAAGGGGCTCCACTATCCTGGATCTAATCTCTTGCCACAGGGAAGAAATGGATGAAGTCTGTAGACTGAACAACAACCTAGGGAGGTATATTGTCTCCCTGGAGCAAAAATAAAAAATATGACTGAGAGCATTACTAAAATAATCAAGCCCATAGATTACTATCCCTTTCTTCTCTTTCGTGTGGGGACAAATGATAGAACAATGAAGCTGAAAACAATATTATCTGCACTTCCAATGACAGATCAACATCCAATGAGGGAACAAAGGATTTTAGAAATAAGCCACTGGCTTAAGGAATGGTGCCATCAAGAGAACTTCAGATTCGTAGACTACAGACTGCATTACCTACAAATACTGCATCAAATGGGAGATCAAACAGGTTCCTTATGAGCCTAGCTGACAACTTTGTCATCCAAAAAGTAGAGGAGGGAACTAAAGGGTCAGCAATATTGGACTTAATTCTTAGCAAAAGAGATGAAATGATAGAGGGGGTTGAAGATACAAGAACTTTGATGGAATTCAATACAATGCAGACACACACAATAGAACAAAATCAAACTATTATCTTAGACTTTAAAAGAGCTGATTTCAAGGATCTTAGAGCTTGGGGAGGATTACATGGATTAAAATCTTAAAGGGGAAAATAACTCAAGAAACTTGGAAAATTCTGAAAAATGTAGTTATAAAAGCCCAATCCACTA